CACACACACACACACACACACACACACACACACACACACACACACACACACACACACCAAGAAATCTATTGATGGGAATCTCAGAAAAGGCATAGAGGTTTATGCATTCAAATAGAAATGCGGGGTTTTAAATATTTCAAATATGCTAGTGTAACTGAGCATCCCTGAAAAGAAATACGACTACCAAGTAGACCAGGCAAGACTATGACTCCAGGGAGGTGTGTGTGCCTAAATGAGACGCCATCATAGAACTGGGTTTTCTGCACGGAGGGGGTGCGTGAAAAAAGGCGTGTGTTATTTGAGAGTGGAGGGGCTGAGAGAAGACACCGCTGATAGACCCGAGAGGAGAGTCAGGGAAAGAGAGGAAACATTCCTCAGGATAGGGAGGAACTGGCTGTGTCCTGTGACTTTGTGCTTGTGACTTAACATCTTTGGGTGTAACTTGGACTTGGATTTATTTTTGTGCATCATTTTGCAGAGACTGTGTTTCTTGGAACATGATGAAAGGGAAAGGGAATAAATTATGCTGAAAAGGAATAAAGAATGAAGACATGACTTAAAAAGAAAACTGCCCCCTTTTTATTAATCCCTCAGGTGGTATCTTTGGAACAATGACCCCAAAGCTGAGACAGGAAAGGGAGCCAAACAAAAGAAGTTTTAACCCCTCTAGAGTGAGGAGAGTGTGGGGGGAGAGGTCCAGTTGTACCTTAGCATGGGAGAAAAAAAAAACTGCTGTAGGACAAGACAGGGCAAGGGAGGGTGACCTTGACCGCATCTTTCTTTCCAAGGCATGAATTCTTCTCTGAAGGATGTGAGGAAGACGCAAGAGCTGAACTGTTTCTATTAACAAAGGAATGGTTCTGTTCAGACCCAGAATTTCACTTCCAGCTTGATGCTTCCTTAGTGAAGGAGCATCCTCTGCACCATTCGGTTCACCACACACACATTGATGGTCCCCCTCTTATGTGCTAGGTGCTGGACAGACAACTGAGCACATCAGGGCAGCCATCTTTTTGAAGTTGCAGCCTCTCAGGGACACTCTGCTTGAAGAAAGCCGGTGAGTAAACCTTTCTGGTTTTGTCCTTCTGGAAGTTCCCCATAATGTAATAGGTTCCTGGGGAGCTCTTTCTCAAGGAAACTCTGATCTGGCTTTTGGGATTACCACTTTCTAACCCCAGTGGAATTAGTTAACTACCCACATAGTTTGCCAGTTGAGGATGTTTTCCCTTTTTTTGGCAGTGCTACAGGTTGGTGCAATGTTGTTAGCCCGAAAACCTAGATGCAAGTTCTAAATCCATACAAATGGGGTTATGGCCTGACCTTGTAAAAATGGTTCTTTCTCTACCCTGTGACCTTCTAATTGCTTTGTTTTTGTTATCATTATTGTTTTTATCATGTTTTTTATGAATGGAAAGGTGATGCCTCACTCTGTAGGTGTGGCTTTATCTTATCAAGTGACTAACTGCTCGAAAGAAACTTAAATTCACACTGAGGCTAAGAGTGCAATGTGGAGAATTGCCACAGAGGCCCGAGGGTGTGCAAGTGAGCCTGCTGAAATGTCTTTCCCTGCTGCTTTCTCAGTGCTTTCTTCCCTGGACCCTCAGGAGCTCTGAACTCAGCCAAAGGGGCAGTTCTCACTTCGTTTTAAGATTGTTGGGTTCTCTAGGGCACTCGAGTGGTCCCCTCGTTTATCCGTGGTGAGCCCATCAATGTCCTGGAAGAGCCAGTCATTCCAGTGTACCAGTTGCTCATACTGTTACTATACAGTTTGTCATGCTGAATTGGAATCATTCATTTACATAGATCTCTCGTACTAAGTGTGAGCATTTCCAGAAAAAGAGACTTGTCTTATTTCCTTTTGAGAAAGTCCCCTCTTCTCTCTCATTGAATGGAACAGAAAAGTTTGGTTCACTTTGCAGAATAAAGACATGAGTGAGTAACAATGCTGTACTTAGATAACAGTATTTTACAATTTTATTTACAATAATAATGTGCATTTGGATGATACTTTGAGCTTGCAGAGCATATGTAGATATACTATTTTATAATATTTGGTTCGCAACATATAAGATAAGGCAGATATTATTAGCACCCCATTTTTACAGATGCCAACATTCAGGGTAAGCATCAGACAATTGTTCCACTTGACACAAGACTAGTAAGAGATAGGATGGGGACATGGACCCAGATATTCTGATTACAAATGCAGTGCTCATGCTGTCACACTGGCCACTCTGTGAGATAAAAGAAAATATTTAAAGGAGGAGGGTTTTACTCGGAGACTCATTCACAATAGATAAGCCTGATTTCAACCTGGACTCACAAAAGCTGATCTTAGCACTTCCCAGGAAGATCAGGCAGCTCCTTTTTAAATTTTTTTTTTCAAAGTAGTTTAGAGTTTTGAAGTTAGGAATTTTTCAGCAGCTGTATCTGAAGCAACAAAAGGAACGTCTGTGAAGAAGAGGACATGGAAAGAGAAATACAATCCAGATTGGCCTTGGAAGACTTTGGTTGAGGGAACTATGGAATTGATCATAGGCAGTGAGACAGTTAGGCAAGGAAAAAGAAATAAAAGTCACCCAAAGTAGAAAGGAAGAAGTAAAATTATCTCCATTCACAGATGAGATGATCTTGTAATATAGAAAATTCTAAAGATCTCTCTCTCTCTCCCTCTCTCTCCCTCTCTCTCTCTCTCTCTCTCTCCCTAGTGATAATCAATGAATTCAGGAAAGCTCCAGAACAAAATCAACACACAAAAATCAGTTGCTTTTCTATATACTAACAATAAACAATCCAAAAAGGAAATTAAAAAAAAAAATACAGTTCCATTTACAAAAGCATGAAAATGAATAAAATATTTATAAATGAACTTAACTAAGGAGGCAAAAGATTTGTACACTAAAAAGTATGAAACATTACTGAAAGAAGTTAAATAATACATCAATAAATGAAAAGCTATTCCAGATTACAGATTGGAAGGCTTAATTTTGGTAAGATGACAACACTACCCAAAGCGATGTACAGATTCAATGCAACTCCTATCACAATCCCATAGTGTTTTTTGCAGAAATTCAAAATCACATCTTAAAATTCATATGGAATTTCAAAGGACCCAAAATAGACAGAGCAATCTGGAAGTGAAGAACAAAGTTGAAGAATTCATACTTCCTGATTTCAAAACTTACTACAAAATTCTAGTCATCAAAATCATGTGGTGCTGACATAAGAACAGAAATACTGTGTAGACAAATGGTACAGAAGAGAGTCCAAAAACAAACCCTTGCATATATAGTGTTTTGATTCTCAACAAGGATCCCAAGACTGTTCAATGGGGAAAGGACAGTCTTTTCAATGAATGGTACTGAGGAAACTGGATATCCACATACAAAACAATAAAGTTGGATGCTTAACTTATACCATATGCAAAAATTAACTCAAGTGGATCTAATACCTAAACATAAGAAATAAAAATCTTAGGGCTGGCTGAGTGGCGCGTTGGTTAAGAGCTGGCTTGGGACACCAGAGGGCCCCGGTTCGGATCCCACATATGAGGGCCAGTGACACTGCCCNCACCCCCACCCCGGGTTTAGGATTAGGCTGTTTGGCTTGGGACACTCCGTGCCCTTGTGGCTCACTCTTCCTTATCCTCACGATTTCAGTGTGGACTTACCACCCCTGCTGGCCCACCCCCCACCACCCCTGCAGTCCAGATCAGATGTCCATTCCATGAGCTCCTCTTCTTCTGGGACAGTGGAGGGAGGCACCACCTGTTCAAAACAAGAATTGACTCCTCAGACTTCATGCAGTAGAACAGTGGTACGATTTATAATAGGTAAGATAGCTCTGTGTCAAAGCAAATGTTTTGAAATCTCTTGACTGTGAAATATGCTGTCTATACACCCATCTCCCGCCCCAAATTGCTAAGTCTGTTTGGGGAGGAGAGACCTAACACAGACAGCCAAATCACACTTCACAGGAAACCCAACCGGATTGTAGGGCCTGGGCACTGCCATGCTACAGAAAGAGTATTTATTAATAGAAAGAACAAGAGATCAGAGCATCTGGCCACAGGCTGGAGCTAAGCACTCCCAGGCCTGCAGCACAAGCTGATGGTCTCTGAAGATATAACATCTGACATTCGGTTAAGTCAATGTCTGTACTGAATGACTGCAGACTCTTCCTCCCATTCACCCCCAAAGCTTTAGTAAAACTCTGCTGTAAATATATGTTATGAATAGTCTTGGGCAAGAGGGGTGGGCAGAGGGATTGCTAGGAACCAAAGAAAGCATCCAGTATTTCATGCCCAAATTGACATGGGCAGAGAGAACAGACAGCCAGGTCCAGAACTGCGTTTAGAGTAGGGAAGTTCACTGCAGCACTGACTGACCAAGACAATATGGTAGACTTGCCCACTTCCCCTTACCCCCAAAGACTTTTTAACGATAGAAAATGAACCGGACTTACCACCATTTCTGGGATGGAGGTTGAACCAGTCAGTCCATTTAATAATGAAGTAAAAGGGGACAGGAGAAAGCTGGAGACCTTGGAGTGTTTGGATTGCATTCATACTTACCTCGCATCCTTCTATTGTCTGTTCATAGGCAAGAATAGGAGTGAATCCGTCTGAGGTCATGTGGGCTCCGAAGTCATACTGCTGGTATTCAGTGCCCAGCTCTGCCACTTACTGGCTTAGTGGTGCTGGGCGAGTTATTTAACCTCTGTGATCATAACTTCATTGTTATCTAAGCTGGGGGTAAAAATAAAACCTATCTGGCTCATGAGGTTATCGTGAGGTCTGTGTCGTGCATGTCATTGCTTTGACCAGTGCCTGGCCAATTCAGGGTTGACTTCTGCCTGGTGCCCTGTCATATCCTTAATGCCTAGCACAGTGGGTGTGCTGTCTATATGGGCTGAGTTCATGAATAAGTGAATAAATTGTCTATCACTCCCTCTGCCCAATATATTCTCCCGCCTCTTCCCCCACATGAGAAAATCTTCCCCCATCTTTTGTTTTGTTTTGAGTCTCAGGTATATCATCACTGGTTCATAAAAAGCCCTCTTACTATTTTTTAATCTCCAATCCCCATTCTTACCCTTTTTTCTCCCACAAGTACTCATTGTAATATGTCCATTATATAACTGTGTGTGTATCTTTCAAATATATATATATAGTATTTATATATTTACATAATATATAGTATAAATATAACAAATATATTTTTATAAATTTTCTTTTTATATAAATATACATATACATTTGAAAAAATATAGTGTTGCTTTGGTATGTATGAGTATATGTTTTAAGTTTACTTGCATAAATCTCCATGTGAATGAATCTCTTTTCTACACTCAAAGAAAAGCTCCTCCCATGATGGACAGATTTGTAAGACTCTGGCTGAATGTCACATTTCCAGTTAAGGGGACATGAAGAGATTTTCTGCAAAGGGACACAAAGGACATGAATGTTGCACGCACTGCCTTAGGCTGGAGTGAGAGCATGAGGCCTGGGGGGTACCTAACCAAGGGGCCTAACTTCTAAAAATTATGGGTGAATATCTACTGAGACACACAATGTTCTACTGGAGGTGTTCAAAGTTGCCCTCAAGTTCTCTGATATCCGGAGCTTGCAAAGGAGAACTAAATAGTACAAGGGGCAGGGGTAGCAGATGTCATTTCTCCAGACTCTGCCCTGAGACTCGGCAAGCCTCAGGCCAGGGCCTGAATGCATCTACTGTGATGGCAGGTTCCCCCGTTAGTATTTATGTCATGCCTAGAGTTTGTGGGCTCAGAACCCAGAATGACTCCAATTGCCCAGAATCTACCTGGTGTGGAAGTCCGCCCAGACACAATGCTTCTTCCTTTAAAACGAAGACCTGGAGTCCCTTTCCACCACCTCCCACACACACACACACACTACTTCCTGTTTTTGTTTCTCAGAAAGAGCTTCGCTATCTGAAGGCCCATTCATTCCTGAAGTAGAGCTGGGCCAAGCACACCTCCCACTTTGGAATGTTCCCAGCAGCTCATACAGATGTTGCCCAAGGTGTTTCTTTGTAGCCCACGAGTCAGACCACACATACAGACTGAACGTAGCGCATCGCCCTACCTGTTGCCTACCTTCCTTTTCTGCCAAAGCTTTCCATCCAAAATGAATTTGCGGCTTCAAGCCAAAGGTGTAGCTCCCACTCAAGCAGAGGGTGGCAGACGCTCACCAGGACAGTCTAGAAGCCCTATTGTTGATAACTGGGTTAGCATCACCCTCAAATTAAGCTCTACCAATGTCATGAATCCCTCTTAAGAGAATTATCAGCCACGAATATGGGATTCATAAAGTATTGCCTTCAGACTCATTACTTAGCATTTGAGAATGTAAATCAATTAATGATATTATGGGGCTCTAGCCCTTTGGAAAAATAACCAACCCCCCACCAACACACACACACACACACACACACACACACACACACACACACACACACACACACACACACCAAGAAATCTATTGATGGGAATCTCAGAAAAGGCATA